TTTTTTACAGAGCAGAAGGGAGAGGGATAGAGAGTTAGAAACATCGATGAGAGAGAAACATCGATCAGCTGCCTCCTGCACAACCCCTACTGGGGATGTGCCTGCAACCAAGGTACATGCCCTTGACCAGAATCGAACCTGGGACCCTTCAGTCCGCAGGCCGACGCTCTATCCACTGAGCCAAACCGGTTAGGGCTAATTTTTAAATTCCATTTTCTAGTGCAAGACAAGGCAGATAGTAATTTTAGTTATTTGGAAAATAGACTAAAAATAGCACATTTGGTTTCTGTCCAATAAATGTTATATAAGCAAACATGATTTTCTTCACTATGTGTTTGTGTGAATCCTTTTGAATGATGGGCTACAGTGAATTGCAGTGTTCTTTATTTTAAAATCCATCCTACTGCCCTGGCCGATGTGTCTCGGTTGAGCATTGTCCCGTGCACCAAAAGGTTGCCGGTTCGATTCCAGGTCAGGGCACATATCCTGGTTGCAAATTTGATCCCCAATAGGAAGTGTGCAGGAGGCAGCTGATAGATGTTTCTCTCTCCCTCTTCCTCCTATCCACGTTCTCCTTCTTTCTCTCTCTAAAATCAATAAAAATTTTTTTAGCCCTAGCTGGTTTTGCTCAGTGGATAGCGCATTGGCTTGCAGACTAGGGTCTCTTGGGTTCGATTCTGGTCAAGGGCACATGCCCGGGTTGCGGGCTTGATCCCCAGTAGGGGGTGTGCAGGAGGTAGCTGATCAATGATTCTCTCTCATCATTGATGTTTCTATCTCTCCCTTTCCCTTCCTCTCTGAAATCAATAAAAATATATTTTTAAAAAATTTAAAGCCTTCTTTGAAAAAATAACTTCTCCATCTTTTCGTTTATTCAAGCCCGGCCATGTAGCTTAGCGGTTGAGCATTGACTCATGAACCAAGAAGTCACTAGTTCGTCCTAGCCATTCTGGCTCAGTGGAGAGAGCCTCGGCCTGCGGACTGAAGGGTCCCAGGTTCATTTCCGATCAAGGGCACATGCCTGGGTTGTAGGCTCCATTCCCAGCAGGGGGCATGCAGGAGGCAGCCAATCCATGATTCTCTCTCATCATTGAAGTTACTCTCTCTCCCTCTCCCTTCCTCTCTAAAAAATCAATAAAAACATTAAAAAATGTTTAAGAAATTGATATGACTATAAAAATAATAAAATTTGACGGAAGACAATAAAATGAGGTGTTTATGTTAAATGTCAAATGGTTAATGTCTCTACAATTCTGCAGATAAATGAGCAAAAGGATAGAACTAGTCCTCAAAGGGGGCAATATGGAGGATGTGTATCCTGCTGTATTGAAAACATACACATTTCTGTAATTTTGCACCCAGTACAGTAGCATATCAGACTGCTGATGAGGTTGAGGTGAAGTTGTCATCATTTGTTGCCAGGCATCATAAATAGCTAGGATGTCAAATTACAGTACAAAGCAAGAACCATGCAGGTTTACGTTTCTTGGGCCTAATAATACCATTTCCTAGAATTTGTGGATAAATCCAAACAAGGCTTAAAGGATACACTCAAGAAGATACTAAGTGTAAAAGCACATATAAATCAGCCGGGGCTTTCCTAAACATTTGAGTGTTTGGCACTCACTCCCCCATCTCTCACCAGCACCTGTCACGTGTTCCCACATCGTTTCCCATTCATGGATGGAGTATGGAAGTGGTTTTTATTTTTCATGCGAGCAATTTGCAGGTTAATTGTTGCTCTTCTCTCCCTGCTCTATAACAAGTCTGTTTGGAAGCCAGAGAAGACTATGTCCTGAATCTTAGGCCTCTGATAGCAGAGCAAAAAATGAAAGGTTTGGTTTTAGTGGAGCAAGAACACAAGGAGACCACACAGTTCTGCTTAGAAATGTTAATTCCAGAACCCACCGCTCTCATTCCGTTTCCCCCCATCTCTCCCACCCTCCTCTCACCTCCCTCCATCCTATTGGAACATATACTCTGTGAGACTTAAACCATTTTCTTTCTTTTTTTTCTCAGATTTTTTTTTTTTATTGCTTAAAGTATTACAAAGGGTATTACATATGTGT